CTCTTTTTGATCATGTTTATCATCATGATTAAAATGCTACTGGAAACTGTGAATGATCATCAATCAGTGAATCAAACATCAGTCCCGCCTGCCTCTTCAATAATCTGTTTTCATTAACAACACACTCACTGATCACTCACCCCCTGGTTTTTCGCATCGCTTTCAGGTAACAGTTCCTCCGCCATTTAAATCACCAATAAGTCCTCCTCGTGTGTGATCTGCTCGTGAGTGACGAGAAGCAGCGCATCTGCACAACTTTTCACAACTCCTCCACCCAGCATCCCGCATATGTAGCCGTCAGCCATGCTCCTGTGTCACGGAGGAGGCGTGTCGTGTTGATGGGAGGACCGTCCCAGCACGTGCACCACCGCCACCACCACACACAACCCCCCCCCCCCCCCCCCCCTGAAAAAGCTCAGCAGTGCAGTAGTTAAAGCCAGGGAGAAAAAGTAAAAGAACAAAAGTTTGCTGAACTGGCTTGTAGCACATCTCCAAAGCTGCTGAAGAGCTGCTATAACTTACAACATATGAAAGAGGAAAAACAAACTGTTAGCCAGTTAGCCACTCTGCAGTTTTTCCTTCCACTTCACTTGTAATGGATTATGATTATTCGTTGCTGTTTGCTGTGCGATCTGTTGCTAAAGCTCTCCAAGGAAAGCGCACAGGGGGAAAAAGCTTCCCAAGAAGATTACTGCACAAGAAATAGGGCTTAATACAACTCCCATGATCCCACACTGTTTCACAATATCAAAACAATTCTTTTGTTATTGTTTTGACTGAGAGAAAGTCACACATGCACATATGTTCATCTAGTTGCTGGCACAGTGTCCCATGCAGCTTTGCTTCCTGAAAACATTTTTTTTATCAAGATGAAGTGGATTCATATTTGTTAGTTGCTCTATTAATAAAGTGTTGTTTCTAAATATAATGGAGCATATAGTTTGACTTCCTCTCCTAAATGTGTGTCTCAATGTGGTTTTAAAATGATATGCAAGGTTTTCCATCATCTTCTTGACCTGTAAAATAAAAGGCTACGAAAAGACACAAAACATTGAGACATTTGAGACAATTTTCTTTTACATGCTGAAAAGAAAAGTTTAGGGCCTATGAGATTGATCACCCATTGTGATCTTTATTCAGTCTTTTTGCTAGGTGTCTACACATAAAACTTTTTTTGAGAGTAAAATTGTTCTCACTTATATAGCTGAACTTTTTCTACCATTACTGATTGCATTACAAAATGATCAAACTGCAAAGACATCAGAGGAAGACTGAAACTACAAGTCATGCCACCCTCACACAAAGCTTGAGGCTGGAACATTTTAAGACCAACCCCATTTGTTGATGTAACTGCTACCAGTTATAAATCCAGCCTCTATGTGGGAGGATGATTACAAAATACAAATATTTGAGATGGCCAATGAATGTGAAAAAAATATTTTTTTATAATTTACAAAATAATTTAAATACATAGGTTACAATTACAGTATGCCCTTCACCTAATAAAATAATGAGTCGAGGGGTAGTATGGTTTCCAGACTATCCTTGTCTTGAGCTGCTCACAAAACACTGAAGCATAAGCTGAACTAATTCGTGAATCTGATATGCTCTGCATCACTTGCTCACACATGACTGTCTTGCATGCACTGATGTTTGGTCCCTCAATGGGCTCTGGTAACACTGTCTCATGCTTCACATATGACTCTTGCGTAAACGGTCTCAGTTTTCATTTCCTCTGATTAAGAAAGAAAACCCTATAACATTGAATTACATTATATTATTATATTTTCTATTATTATAATACTTAATATTACATAATATTTTCATTAGTTTTGAAATGACAGAACCTTTAAAGTCAAACTGCTGTTTCCTATTGTAGAAGAGACATCAAGTTGCTCATGTATATAAAGATGGACGACATGACTGCTGCTAAAAAAAGTCTCAATCGCTGCCTGGTGGCTTTCTGCAGTATAAGGAATAAATCCCACCTTCTCTATTTAAGTGGAGAGGCCATGGACCAAATTAAAAAGTCACAGTATGTGTGAATAATATTTCTCAAAGATGGTTTCTGACACTGATGTTCAACTGATCATGGTTATGATAAGTTTGGTTTGATTAAGTTATTTGATGGAATTCAAACAGGGTGAAACATCATGATTGACAGCTCGAGACAGTTGGTAAAGTTCAAAGGAACTTCATGACCGTGGCTCCACCACCTGATCATTACAGCAAAGATACTGGGTCCAAAAGCATAAGATGGTGGTGTTCGTATTCAGGATATTTTGGCTTCATTTCTAAATAGTGGGAGGAAGAGGAGATCTGTCATCCATCTTTAAACAGGCTGAGCATGTAACTCAAGTTGATGATTTTCATATAAAGTATAAGTGAACTAAGATGTTGTATGTTGGAAAGAAAACTGAATTAATTAAATTAAAATAGTTATATGGTCCCTTTATTTTGTATTATTACACAGTACCCTCAATAAAAAACAATGAACCTTCGGTCTTGTCCCCCTGTAACTTTAACGAAGCACGCTAAGTTGAGACGATCATGCAAGTCAAATGGCTTGTGTCATATGACTTCTATCACTGTGAAATGTCTGTGGCATCATGCGGATTTTGTGTAAAAAATCAATTATTCTGCAAAGAGGGATACAGCACACAACCATAAAAGAAGAGAAGAGGATTAACACTGTGACACAGTAACAAAAGAAACCCTGAAGACAAAGAATGAAATAAATGATGGAATGATCCGTTAATTAAGTACACTGACTCAACATCACATGACCTCAGAAATGAGCAGAGTTTGATCAACCTCGCAAACTGTAGCAACAGAAAATGAACACTGAGCTCTAAAAGACATACTCGGTTTGTGCTGGTATAGGTTTAATGATAAGCGTTGCTTATCTTTTATTTAAGAAAAAATCATTTTAATGTATAATACTGTATTTCAGATTATAGTCTATGTTCCATGTTATTAAGTTAGAGCCTTTTTCTTTAGTCTTACTTCACCAAAAATTTAATAAGAGCATTTGCATAATATGCTCAAAGTCCTATTTTTGGTTTCACAGCAAAATAGTTTGTGAGACTAACATTTGACTATGTAAACAAATTCCTGGCCCTCTGAGTTTTGTTTTAATAACATGTTTCTCTGGGTCATACTCACGTACCAGTTTAAAGCAGCCATAAAAAATAATGGCTGGTGTGTGTGTGTACTAATTCGCAGGACAGTTTTCTGTTGTTTAACTCACACTAATTGATTATTTTCCAATTACCTGAAAGCAGCCTAACAAGTTAAAAACACAACACACTTGTCATGATGACAAAGCTGGAATTATACCAGTTTTTTTAGATTTGGGAGGTTTGCATATCCGTATCTCCACAAGCCACAGCTAACTATAGCACAATCTTCAGAGAGGCATAATTCCAGCGTTAGCAAAGTGTTACCTATTTACACTCAGCATTTCAGCAGATACAGAGCAACATTAGCCTTAGTGTGGAGTCATGTTTGTTTCCAAAAATACTAATTTGGTATCTCTGTCAACTTGTTGCTAACTTTGCTTATGGTTTGGTGTTGGATGGTTAGCCAAACGTTGGTTTATTTGACCTTTTTGCCTAAAAAGCAACCACTAACTGCTGCTGTTGAAAAAATCTATGAGGAAAGATCTTAGAGTCAAACAAATCATGAAAGTAGTGCTGTGTAAAACTAAAACAGTGAGGTTAAAGACATTGAAAAGCTTTGCAGAGTTAAATAGAAGCTCAGAGTCTGGTGATGAATTCCCTGAGAGTTCATCACACAACTGAAACTGCCCATTACACACAGTCATCTGACATGTTAATATAAAGATATTGATCAGTGCAGCTTTAAACGTTTGTTATAGCTGTAGGTCAGGCGGTTGCATGCAGGATGGCTGCTGTTAGCTACAGCTCGAGAATGTCACAGCTTTTAGAGCATGAAAAACATTAGAGCGTTAGTAAAAATTAACAGTAATTAAAAAATTCAGTTTTTCAAAAAGAGGATGTGTATAAAAAAAAGGATGTCAGGGTATAAAAGTGAACAACACGCCCCACAACAATATAT